TGCTCAGCTTAGCACATCTAGCCTGCCTTCTTTCCGTCCTCCAAAGAAAGATTTATCTGGACAGTCATGACCGACCGATGCAGATTCTCCTTCCCTCCGCCGCTGCTGCACCTCCTGCCGCCGGTGCTGCTGCTCGTGGCGGGGTTGCTTCTGCTGCCACCGTGCCCTGCTGCCGCCACTCGCATCAACGACGCCCAAGGTCGCTCGCTCCTCCTCCTCCTACCTGCGCCGCCGCTTGACCCCAATATCCTAAACTCTCCCCCGATTCCCCCATCTCCCTCCCGTTCTCCAACTCTCCCACTCCGCTCCTCTCCCTCTCCCACTCCATCTCCCACTCCCTCTCCCACTCCCACCCCCCCTCTTTCCCACTGCGCCCCATCCACAGCCTCGTCCTTGCCGCTGATTTGCATCCCTTCCCTCCAGGCTCGTCCCTCTCCCTCACTCCCTCTTGTTCTTCCACTCCCCAACCTCCGCTGCTGCTCTCTTTCCCATCTCTCCCCAACGTATACCAATCCACTTCAAGCCCTCGCTGCTATGCTCCCTCGCTGCTATTCATATTTTCCTGCTTCGTCCACACCCCAATACGTGCTTGCAGCATGACCGCTCAGTACCCAACTCAACTAAACCCGTCCCTTCATCCTCCCGTACCCCTCCCTCCCCAATCCCTACCCCTTCCCCCCCCTGCTTCCCCCACGCCTCTCCCTCTCCTTCAATCCTTCCCCTCCCCTCCCCCCTCCCCCATCCCCTTTACCTCCCTTCCTTCCGCCTTCACTCCGCCATGCCTCCCCCTTACCTCCCCCCTGCCTTTGCTCTGCGTCCCTTCTGCCTTTCCTGCCTCCCTTGTGCCTTTCCCCTGCGTCTTCGTCCCCTGGCAACGGGGGTGCTGGCGGAGTGCGCTGCAGCATGGGGTGTGTCGCTGAGGGAGTGGCGGGTGGGGGGCGAGTGGGACACGGCGCAGTTCATTACATGCGATGCCAACGGGCTTGTCACTGGCATGTGCGTGCCCTAGGTAGAAAAGGGAGAGAGGGAGGCAGACAGGGAAGGCAGGAGGAAGGGTATGGGGGGAATGGGGCCAGCATGGTGGTTGTAGCGGCGATGGAGGGTGGGGCGGAAGCGAGAGTACAGTGGGAAGGCTGCAAGGCATTGACTTGCTGTCAGCGTGCTGTGACTGTGCTTCACTGTACTGCTGCTTCTGTGCCTCTGTGTGTGTGTGTGCGCGCGGGCGCACGTGTGTGTGTGTGTGTATATGTGTGTGTGTGCGTGCGTGCGTGCATGCGTGCGTGCGCATGTGTGTGCTCAACACAACATAACCGGTCGCCTGGAATGGCAGGTCTAATTGGATCCATCCCAACAGCTCTTGGCACTCTCACCTCTCTCACCTCTCTGTACGCTTCATCATTCTCTATGCTTTACCATTCTGTACGCTTCACCATTCAGTGCGCCTCACCATTCCGTACGCCTCACCACTCCGTACGCCTGACTCACCTCTCTATATACCCAGTTGCCTTTCCTAATCTAGGTTCGCAAGCATTTTGCAATGCCGTGATACTTTCACCACTCCACACGTTTTTACCACAACACTGCATTCTCACCCTGGCCCTTGCGACTTCTCCTCTAGGCGTACACCAATCTACCTCCCCTCCTCTCCTCCCATTTACCAGCACACAGCAGCACCCATGGCACCCACCCATTGTGTGGGCTAGTTCAGTATCTCTATCCTGTCTCTCTCCATTTACCCTCCATGTGTGTGCAGTATCTGTTTCCATGTACCCTCATCCATCTCAGCCTAGCAGCCTTGGGGGGAAGGTGCACCCAGAGGGGGGAAAGGGCCACTCCTCATCCATCTCCTCCTTTTCCGTGTCTCACCCCATCCTCGCTGCCCCTTCCCATCCTGTCGGCGCTTTGCTGCAACCTGTGCTGCAACCAGTTGCAAACATTTCGATCTCTCATGTCTATCTCATCTCCTCCCATGATCAGCCGATGTTCCTTTCTGCAGTCTGCCTAGTGTTGTCTGCTGCAGCACCAGACCTGCTGATCTCAATTGCCTGCTGCAGCCTGTGCTGCAACCTGTGCTGGAAGCATGCGCCAAACTAACTTCTTTGCATGCATCACAGTAACCTCTCCACATGCATCACACTAACCTCTCTGTATGCATCATAATAACTGCTTTGCATGGACCACAACGACCAGGACGGCCCAGTAGCAACCCTTATTCAGGCGCCTCACCAGCCCTATCCCTCCCTCCTTCTGTTCACTGTTCCCCCTTCCCCCCTACTGCCCCATCCCACTTTCCACGTACGCAGCAACCTGAGCTACAATACCCTGGAGGGTCCCATTCCTGCATCCTTCAGTGTGCTCACCTCGCTCCTCTACCTGTGAGAGGCATGGGGGCACATGTAGGGCTGTTGGTGTTAGTGTTAGCCCTCAAACTCACCTTTTTATATCCTATTTTAGTGTAGTTTTCACTTTTTGTTTGGTTGGGTGTACATCTACATCCCAACCGAACCCAAATGTGGTCTCCAAGCAATCTTCAACCCACCAATTGGAGATTGCCTTGGGATTGCCCCCAATTCCTAAGGATTGCCTCCGATTCCCCCCCCATCCATACCTAGTTCATTTTGTTTTTAAGGAGCTTCAAGCTCATTACTAATTTATCGATTCTAGGCTCAGTTCGAATATGGTATCAGAGCAATTCAACCACACATGCGGATCGTGATCTTCCTACCTTTGCGAATTCTCCTCATGCACTCTTCGGCGAAGCCGCTTTCAAACCTGTCACCCTTGATTCGCGACATCTCTGGCCGGAATTTCTCCCACGCCACTCACCTTACCGTCACAACGACTTATGCATTTTTCGTTAAGCAAATCGTCGGCATAGTGCTTATGGCTGGTTCTTCCTGAGCACGCGGTACTTCTCCTCCTTGTCGGCACTCGTAAACCCTACCTTAAAATTCTCCTTCGTAAACCCTACCTTAGAACTCTCCTTCGTAAACCCTACCTTAAAATTCTCCTTCGTATACCCTACCTTAGAATTCTCCTTCGTAAACCCTACCTTACAAATTTGCCTACGGCGACTTAAAAGCTGCACTCTGCACAGAAAGGAAGAAATATATTCATCATGGTCTTCGCTTCCTCCACTATCGCCAATCCCATCACCCCTCTTCGCCTCGAAGTCGACGGCACTAGCTCCAACTACAATGCATGGAGCTACGGGGTTGATAGGCACCTCTTAGAGCGGTGAGGTGCAAGGGTTGGATTCCAAGGATGCCCTCCTCAATCAAGGCAAGGGAAAACAACCCCTTGTCCCGATGGCGCCGTCCGATCCTACTAATGCGGCGGCAACTAAGGAGTACGAGGAAGCCATTGACAACTACCGCCGTCGGGAGAAGGCCAATGCTGCTATCATTAGCGACTTCATCGGCACTACCTCACCCGATTTTGTCAATAGTTTTCACAACTACCCTACCCAACGCCATATGGAAGCATGTTCAGCATAGTTTTATGAACAAGACGGCGGTTGGGGTGGCCATTCTCATCCCGAGCATGTTCCAGGTCCGCCTTGAGGACTCCCCAGGCATGGTCAACTACATCGCCAAAGTTCAAACTATTCATGGCGAGGTCAAGTGACTTGGCATAGTCTTCCCGAGCAAGCTCCCGCAACCGCTCTTCTTGTCGGCCTCACCTCGGCATACTAAGTTACGAGGAAGATGTTTCTCACACTCTCGGCGAAAGACCTCACATTTGCTAAGGTCTTTTCTGCTCGTCGAGAAAGACACCACGGCTCAAGCCAAGGCCTACGCCCTCCGTGCTCCCGTGTCTCAAGCGAGTGTTAACTCGGCGCCCTTTCAGCGCAACCGCTTCCCTCCATGCACCTACGTCCTCAAGTATGGCAACCGCAAGGGACAAGTGTGTGGTGGCACTAACCACCCTCTCCCTACTTGCTTCAAGAAGAAGGACGATGAATGGTATGCCATCCATGGAATCGACAAAAAGCCACAGAACTGGATGCGCCCTTGTAAGGTCAATCAAGTCGAAGCACACGAACCTGCTTAGGCTAGTACTAGTGCTACCACTTTTGCCCTTGCTTATGTGCGTCTCAACGTGTTTTTCCCCGTCACTGCCATGATTAATGAAACGAATGTATAGTACCTTGGCTCATCACACGCACCCATCCCATAGAATTCACACTCGACAGTAGGGATGAGCAAGAGGCGAACACGAACGTGTTCGCGTTCGCCTCAGCTCGAACACTTCCGTGAACAGCTTTTACCAAAAATGGTGTTCGAGGTTCGTATGTGAGGGCGAACATCTTGAACACTATGGCGAACACGAACGTGTTCGTGGCAAACATGTTCGTGTTCACCCAAGGCAGTATTTCATTATGGTCACACATGGCTACAAAGGGGCTGAACCATCCCTAAAGAATGGTAGATGGTATGGCAGTGATTCGATCTACGTGTAATGTGTTCATACAAACTACAATGAGTTATAATAACGTGTCAACAATTAATATCTCCATGGTCTCTCTAAAACGTCATAGTGGAAACGGCAACAAATGCCCCACCGAACGCACACCAACAAAACCACATCTACTCCCTGGTCTCCCCGCTACCAACACCACCAGCCTCACTCTTCGCTGTGTCCGTCCCGCCCTCCTCCTCCTCCTCGGAGTCCTCCACCACCTCGCCCTGAATAGCAATCTCCAGTGCTGCGACCCCTCTCGGTCAGTGGCCCTCGCCGATCCTCTGGCCAGGGTGCGAGCCATACCACGATCTAAGAATCATGCAGGCTCGCGCCCTCTCGGAGTTCAGGCGGTGCCGCTTCCAGGAGATGAGGTTGCGGCCCAGGGAGAACATGCGCTCGCTCGCAGCAGACGTGGCAGGGATGGCGAGATAATCCCTGGCCATCCGCTTCAGCGTCTCCATCTTGGTGGCGCTGCGCCAGTACTCTAGCGCTGACACGTGTACCGCACCCGCTCGGACAAGTACCTCCTGACCTCATCATCCTGCACAAGCCCACCCCCCCCCCCCCCCCCCCCCCCCCCCCCCCCCCGCCGCCTGGCTCGCCGACAGACGCGCCGCAATTCGTCGGCGACTAGGGAGATACTGGTCGTCATCGTCATCCCCACCCTCTCCCTCCTGCTCCTCCACCACGAGGGCAAGTGTAGTGGGCCGAGGAGCCAGCTCCCTAGCCGCCGCCTGGTACTCGGCCACGCGCTCACGTACAAGCGCGATCACATCGCTGGATGCGGGGCGCGGCCTCTCCCTCCGCTCTGTCCATGGATGCAGCTTCCCCCAGTGATCGTCGTCGAACCACGCCGCCTTCATGGAGGGGTTCAGGAAGGTGGCGATCCAGTGCTCGTTGCTGGTGATGTAGGTGTACTTCTTCAATAAGTCAAGCGCCTTTACGATCATCGGCCGCAGCGTCGCCGATGGCCCCTTGGCTAGACGCGACTCCATGGCGTCGATGAGGCCGATGTAGTAGGGCACCACCATCGACACTGTCGGGTACGCCGTCCCCTTAGCTGCCTTGGAGACCTTGTTGAAGGGGCTGAGAAATGTCATCAACTCCAACAACAATTCCCACTGCTCGTCTGAAAGGCGCAGCTTCTCCACCTTCTCCTTGTCCGCCTTTGCCGCCCTGTCCGGGTTCAGTGTGCGGCATGGCATGGGGGAAGGGGTTAAAATTAGAGGCTAAATTGAGCATTACGTGTACCACATACGTGCCACATATGCCACACCATGCCACACCATGCCACTCCATGTCACACCATGCCACACATGCCACTCCATGCCACACATGCCACTCCATGCCACACATGCCACACCATGCCACTCCATGCCACTCCATGCCACTCCATGCCACTCCATGCTACACATGCCACTCCATGCCACACCATGCCACTCCATGCCACACCATGCCACTCCATGCCACTCCATGCCACACCATGCCAACCCACCCTCCACACCATACCTGGGTCGAGGCAAAGAACACTGTGATCGGGTTCTGCAGCAGAAGGACGCGGTCGGCCATGGCGTGAGTCGAACCCCAGCGGGTTGGACTGTCCTGCACCAGCTTCAACGCCGGTTTGTTGACGCGGGCCTGCAAGTTCAAGCTCCTTTGGATGCCCAGAAAGGCCGCCGAGCGCTGTGGCGAATACCCAATCCAAGACGCCATATCTCTGAGCACCTTCAGCAGGTCGCAAATGGCATCCTCAGACAAAGTCCCCTGCACTGCAAGGTTTATCACATGTGACAAGCACCTGCGCAAAACAGTAGCAGTGGCATGGGGTGCGAGAGGTATTGACACATGGTCAATGCCAACCACTAGAGTGCCACAAATACACCCACCCACCCGATCCCCACACACACCCGCAACACCGATCCATCAAACCAGCTCAGATGAGACACACACACACACTCACACCCACGCACACCTGAGGTGCAGGCGAGAGTTGAAGAAACCTCGACCACCACCCTCCCCCGACAACCGCCTGAAGGCGGCAATGTTGGAAGAGGCGTTGTCAGAGGTGAGGCCCAGACAACGCCCCTGCAACCCCCACAACACCACCGTCTCCTCCACCACCTGCGCCATCTCCCTGCCGGTATGACGCCCCGTCAACTCACAAAAATCTAGCACTGCCATGCAAAGCTGAAACGACTCGTCTATCCAGTGACCTGTCACCACCAGCCAAGCCTTGCTATTCGGTGCAGTCCACATGTCGATGCTGTAGGACACCTTGCATCCCAAATCCCCCTCCTTCGCCAGCAGCTCCGCAATGGCCGCCTGTAGAGCGGCCGCAACAAAGACCACGATGTCGTGTGCAACCGTCCAGCGCGAGGGTATGAAGTTCTTCTGCCCGTAGTGGTGGTTGCACAGGATCAATAGCTTGCGAAACTGGTGGGGTGGGGAAGGCACCACAACGAGTATGAGTTGGGTTTCGAGGCGTTTCAAGTGGAATGGAATGGAGTGGCACACGAGTCCCAACCCAACATCATCAAACTCTTACCGCCTCGGCCTCCACAATTTTGAAGGGAAGGTCACATGTCACCACCAGCTTGGCGATCGCCTGCCGAAGCTCCACCTCAGAAAGCTTCTTCATCATGTAGCTCTTGAACCGACTGACCCCTCCACCCCTCTCCCTGCCTTCCCTTTCTTCTTTGGGATGTTCGGCCAGCTAGTGGCATGCGGCCACTCATAGACGTAACCATCCGGCACCCCTTTGTAGCCCCCCCGCAGAAACGTCTCGCCAGGCAGCTGCAGATGTGGATTGTGGTAACGGTGATACCACACGTCCATCTAAGCAGTGTGGTAGCTCTCAAAGTGTCACTCGCCAGGTGTAGGTGTGGACCCCTTCCATGAAATCCGGTCAATACAAATCTTGCACTGCTGCTTGTGGTCAGAACCCTTAGGCCCGAACATCTAAAATTGCCACCCCAATTTCTTCTTACCCTTGCCACTCCCCCTGCTACTCTCGGAGCAAGGATACGCTCAAGGCCAGAGCTTCTCGGCTTTCTTCTTCCGCGCCGGCTTCCCAATGGACGGCCTCCTTCGCCCCACCTTAACCCCCCCGCGCCCACTTCCTCTACCCACATGCTGAAAGGCCTCCTCCGCGGCTACCCCTCCTCCCTCACCCACCCCCTCCTCCTCCCCCCCCTCTGGCTCCAACCCTTCCATCTCCTCATCTTCATCACCCCCCCCTCCCCCACCGCCATGCGTCTCGGGTGTCCACCCCTGCTCACTATCATCCCTGCTCCCCTCCTCGTCCTCAGCAGCCTCCTCCTCATCCCCCTCCTCGTCCTCCTCCTCCTCATCGTCCGCCTCACTATCGCTCTCTGTGGTGGCAGTACGCGTCTGCCCAGAAGGAGGGGGTCTAGGGCCTGAGTAACGGAACGAGTGACGGGATGTCGGTGCTGGAATGGACAACAGCCCACCAACAAAACAAGCACCAGCTCCTCTAGGACCGTCACCTACTCGGCCATGCATAGGTCGTGGTGGAGACAATGGAGTACCGCCCTTACTGTTGCGCCCACCCTGTTCTGCAGGAGGGTGTTGCTGATGGGAGGCCATTTCGCGGCTAAACCCTAAAAAAACGAGATTCTAGATAGAATGAAAAACGCGCCGGCGAGGCACCGTGAATGGTACAAAGATGAAGCTCAAGTCACGTTCAGAGTAACTCTGTGGCTTATGGCACGGGCAGGATTCTCCACTTTCGTGTGCATTCAACGTCGGAAACCCTAATCGCTAGCCCACTACTTAAACATGGCCGTTCGTAATAGTTACTACAACCCTATTAGTAAGTGTCGGCCTACAGACGCTGATATGGTGAAGCATCGTTGGCCTAAGGCTAGTAGGTGAGGCTAGTAGAGGGCTGGTTGGTGGGCGCGACCTGGTCGCGAGTAGCTTGAGCTAAAAAAAATGAGCCCAAACTGAAACGGCCGCGACCCTAAATTTGGTCGCGGCCAATTCGTCGACGAACACCGTAGTGTTCGTCGACGCCCCGCGTCGAACTCGAACATGTTCGTGTTCGACGCGGCTCGGCAATCCGACGAGGGCGAACATCGAACGTGTTCGCCCAAACAGCGAACACGTTCGTTGCGAACATTTTTGGGGAAAAATGTTCTCACCATCTTCCCTCCAAACGCTGACTACCGTGACATCATCGACCCACTCACCAACAAGCTCTTAGCTCGCTTCACCCTCAACAGTAGCGACCTTTACACGCTGCGTTTGACAAACCCACAGGTGTCCAACGCCCAAGTACAGGCTGCTATCACTCCATGCTCATGCCGCAGTCTCGCCAATCCCACCATCCTCTATCACAATTGGCTCGGACACCCAAACTTCCACACGTTCACTGACATGGCCTCCAAGAAGCTTCTTCTCGGCCCACTAGCCTCACTTCCTCTACCAGCTGACTCTCCCACTCTCATGTGCTTTGACTGCACTAAGAGTTAGCTGCGCCAACAGCCTCACCCCGCCTCGCCCTAAGTCGCAGCAGCGCCCTTGGATCTAGTGCACATGGACGTCTGGGTCCTGCCCTTGTTGCCGCATGAGGTGGTCACCGCTACTTCCTCTCAATAGTGGATGATTAATCTCTCTACGTTTCTGTGCACCTCCTCCACACTAAGGTTGAGGCTCCAGAGGCCATCATGGCATGTGTTAGACATGCGCAAGTTACCTTTGGCATCAAGGTCAAGCGCCTCCATTCGGATCGTGGTGGTGAATTTTGCAACAATAAGCTCGAAGCCTTCTGTTCCTCTCTCGCCATTCAACAAACTTCACACTTCCTGACAACCCGCGGTAGAATGGCATAACAGAGAGTTGTAATCACACTTTGGCATTCGGTCTTGTGGGCTTGCACTTCCACTCGCACTAGCAATTCGGTGTCCAGTGATCACTCCGACTCCTGTTGATGGAGTTGATGTGTCTTCTACCCGTCTGGAAGATAGGGTAGAAGCTGTGTGATCTTCACGCTGTCATTCCTCAGCTGTCGCACATCTTTCCCAATATCAAAGACTCACCTCGCTCAACTTTCGGAGAACCCGACCATACCCATCCTGTCAAACATTGTATATGTTTGTACTGTGTAGGCTGTAGTGGGTTTAGCCTTAGGGGGTACAATCTCTAGGGTTTCATACTTGTACTCCCAACTTTCCTAGTTCAATCATTCTCGTTCAGTTCAACATTCTAACATGGTATCCGACGCCTAGGTCACGACCTAGAACCGACGTTGGTTAGGGCCCACCGTTCCGCCGCGCCCTTGCGCGACCGTGTCTGATAGTACCTCGCGCCGTCGAGCGCCCTTCCTAGCGCCGTCGTGCGCCCTTCCTAGCGCCGTCGAGCGCCCTTCCTAGCGCCGTCGTGCGCCCTTCCTCGCGCCGTCGAGTGCCCTTCCTAGAGCCGTCGTGCGCCCTTACTAGCGCCGTCGTGCGCCCCTACCCGCGCCCTCGAGCGCCTACCTACTCGCGCTCTCGAGCGCCAACCTGCCGCCCTGCCCTGCAGGCCGCGCGAGGGCCTCCTCTGCACCCGCGCAACCGCCCCTGGACCCCGAGGCGCGGCCCCTGGACCCCGCGACGCGTCGCCCCTGACTCGTCGCGACGACCCTGCGGGACCCGCGAGTCACCCCCCCCTCGTCGCGGCGCTTCTGCGGGCCCACGCGCGTCGCCACAGCCTCGACGCGACGCCCCCGCGTGGCCCGCGCGTCGCCACCGGGACCCGCGCGCGTCGCCCCTGCCTCGACGCGACGCCCCCGCGCGACCCGCGCGTCGCCACCGGGACCCGCGCGCGTCGCCCCTGACTCGTCGCGACGCCCCCGCGCGACCCGCGCGTCGCCACTGGGACCCGCGCGGGGTCGCCTCTGCTCGCCGCGGCGCCCTGCCCTACCCCGCGCCCGCCCTTGGGACGGCCGCCCCTGGCCCCTGGACCAGCCGACACTGCAGCAGCCGCCCCTGGCCCCTGGAGCAGCCGCACCTACAGCCGCCCCTGGACCCTGGAGCAGCCGCCCCTGCAGCGGCCGCCCCTGGCCACCTGGAGCAGCCGCCACTGCAGGAGCCGCCCCTGGCCCCTAGAGCAGCTGCCGTCACGGCCCGGCCCCGCCCTGCAGCAGATGCCGCGGAGCTCCCTGCCGCGGCCCGGCCCCGCCCTACAGCTGTAGCGGCCCTGCTGTCGCCGCCGTCTTGCGCCTGCTCTTCCTACCACTGGTGAGCACTGCCCTGCCCGCACTGCTACTGCTACTACTGCTTTTACTGCTCCTGCTACTACTGCTGCTACTGCTTTTACTGCTCCTGCTGCTACTGCTGTTACTGCCGCTACTGCTGCTACTGCTGCTCCTGGCGTGGCCAGATGCAGCTTCACGGCCGTCCGCGTGTGTCCCTCACGCCCCAGCAGCTTCGTGAGTGGTACGCCAGTTGGGGTTGTCGGGGTGGCCGTAGTGGGAGTCGTCCTGGAGTGGGTAGTTCGGGAACTTCTTGTAGTGGCCCGGTGCAGCAGCAGAGTCGTCCGCGCGAGTCTCTTTCGCCCCAGCAGCTTCGTGAGTGGTACGCTCAAAGTAGAGGGTCGCTGAGTACTGCTCGCTGCCCGTACGTTATTAGCACGGGTGCCCGGACTGGCCAGCCTTGCGGGACGCGTGGTCACACAGAGTCCCACTGCTTCGCCCGTCTGAGTGACGCTTGGCGTACAGAGTTTGGCGACGACGCTGAGCTCCCCGACTGGGTGGAGCTACTTGGACAGCGGGTAGATATCTTTGCTCTTGCCTATGATGCTATTCTCACTGCAATGTATGCATTGTCTGCTAGTGTCGAGGGAGCCTGTCACCTGTGTGTGCCGCCTGACCCCGGTATCTAGTCTGCTGCTCTAGGTCCTGGTGGGGCTGCCGCACTAGGTGCTCGTGTGTCTGTTGCCTCCGGTGCTGGTGAGGCTGCCGCTCTAGGTGCTAGTGTGTCTGTTGCCCCAGGTGCTGGTGAGGCTGCTGCTCTAGGTACTTGTGAGTCTGCGCCCTCTGGTACTGCGTCTACTGAGGCACTGCACACCTTCACACTGGACTCAGGTGCTTCCCGCTGTTTCTTCCGTGACCGCACTGCCCTTGAGCAGCTTGCTCGGCCGGTTGCAGTCTCCCTCGCTGACCCCTCTGGGGGTCCGGTCATTGCGACCTCCTCCACTGTCCTCCCTTGTCCTGCGGTCCTGTCGGGCACACTGTCAGGTCTCTACCTCCCCTCGTTCTCTACGAACTTGGTGGCGGGTCGTGCGCTCCAGGACGGGGGTGTCCACCAGTTCACCCCTGCCTACGAGCGCGTGACACACTGCACGTGTGCTCGGACGGGTCGCCACCTGGCTACCTTCACTCGGCAGCCGGGGTCGGACCTGTACATACTGACCACTGAGTCCCCTCAGGTAGCTGCGTCTGCGTCTGCGTCAGGTCAGCTGTCTGCCCCCTGCTCGTGTCGCTCCTTGGCGCACGAGACCGTCCTCTGGCACCACCGCCTTGGTCACCCGTCAGTGCAGCGCCTTCGTGGCATGCACTCCCGGTACCTTGTCTCTGGTCTTCCCAGGGTTCTCCCTCCCCTCCCACCCTCGCCTGCTCCTCCCTGTCTTCCCTGTGTCGAGGGGCAGCAGCGCGCCGCTCCTCACTCCTCCTCGTTTCCCCCGACGACTGCTCCCCTGCAGACGCTCCACATGGACGTGTGGGGCCCAGCCCGCGTCCGTGGACAGGGTCACGAGAGGTACTTCTTGATAGTTGTTGACTACTCGCGCTACACCACGGTCTTCCCCTTGCGCACCAAGGGATGTTTCCCTGATGTTTTGATCCCTTGGATCCGCGCTGCCCGTCTCCAGCTCAGCGAGAGGTTCCACTCGGACTTCCCTGTCCTGCGTCTGCACTCTGACAGAGGTGGGGAGTTTTCCTCCGACCTCTTGAGGGCCTTTTGTCAGGGGGAGGGCATTGAGCAGTCGTTCACGCTTCCGGCCTCTCCACAGCAGAATGGGGTTGCTGAGCGCCGCATTGGCTTGGTCATGGAGGTCGCTCGTACCTCCTTGATCCATGCGGCTGCCCCCCACTTTCTGTGGCCGTTTGCGGTCCGGTACGCTGCGCATCAGCTCAACCTCTGGCCCCGTGTCTCCTTGCCGGAGACCTCGCCCACACTGCTGTGGACGGGGAAGGTTGGCGATGCGTCGCGTTTCCGGGTCTGGGGATCTCGAGCTTTTGTCCGCGATACGTCCGCGGACAAGCTCTCCTCCCGCGCTGTTCCTTGTGTCTTCCTTGGCTTTGTCCCGGACGCGTCTGGTTGGCAGTTTTACCACGCCACCTCGCGCCGTGTCCTGCCGTCTCAGGACGTCACTTTTGACGAGTCGGTGCCCTACTACCGCCTCTTCCCCTACCGCACTGCCCCGCTCCCCCCCCCGCCTCTCTTCCTCGCGCCAGGTGCTGCTGTGGTAGACCCCCTCCCCCCTCAGGGTGCCGCTCCCTCAGGTGTGTCCCAGGTAGACCC